TTTGGTGCAGTTCTGACCTTGTACAGTCAAGTTACAACACCTTCTTGTTTGATGGTGAATCATCTATTTTAGATGCAACGGCATGACACGCAACACTTTGTAACGGTTTGGCACGCAACTATTTTTTATTTTATTTTATGGGGTGCCAGTCAGGGATGTCCTGACAAATAGTCGTCACGCACACAGACACATGCCCGTTACAAGGATATACGTATAGTCACGTCAATCTCTGTCCACATAAACCCTTGGAATAAAATCATTAATAGCAAAAGAAGCATCAACAACCAGGTTTTTCAGTGATTAGAAAGTATATTGCTCACCAAAAATAGCCATAACATTCATAATAATGTCCATTAACAGACTTCCTAAAGTTATAGTCATACACAAAGAAAACTCGGTCATTAGTTCATTGAAACACAGGAAACAGTTCTCAGTCCATCACAAAATAGAAGCCAAAGTAAATGTTCAGTTCCTAAAAAAAAAAATACCACCAAAAAAGAAGGAACAGCCCCAGTCTTCACAGAGAAAACCTCTGGTACCTACGGTGTGGAGCTTGGGCACCTTGATTTAGCGCTTAAAACGGTGCAGATACACAGAAACACACACACACAGCCAGCCAGTCAGTCTGTACACGGTTGATCACAATAGGAAGTTAACGTCATTGTGATGACCCAGCAATTCTTCAAGATCAACGTCACAACGCAACTAGATACGCTGACTTCAAGCATTCTACCGCTATGTGCGGTCTACAACGACACGGTGCAACTCCGTCCGTAGACACTGAGTAGGATATACGCCATCCGCCACAGCCGCCATGGTCCAGACGTCACCACACACGCTGGTAGGAAAAAAAACGCTCTTTTCATACGTCATCCCAATGTGTCTCCACCGCTGAAAAAACCCTCGACAGTGGATCATTTAAATTTACATGCCATCATTATGACGGGTCGTTAAAACTTGACTGCTGAAACAGCCACGTCACAGCTGACTGAAGTAACTACTGGAGCTACGCTTTCCTGTGACAGCGAACGCAACACTTTCAGTAGCTACGCTGATTAAACAGCCACGTTACAGCGGACTGAAGTAACTACTGTAGCTACGTTTTCCTGTGACAGCGAACGCAACACTTTCAGTAGCTACGGTGATTAAACAGCCACGTTACAGCTGACTGAAGTAACTACTGGAGCTACGCTTTCCTGTGACAGCAAACGCAACACTGTCAGTAGCTACGCTGATTAAACAGCCACGTTACAGCTGACTGAAGTAACTACTGGAGCTACGCTTTCCCGTGACAGCGAACGCAACACTTTCAGTAGCTACGCTGATTAAACAGCCACGTTACAGCTGACTGAAGTAACTACTGGAGCTACGCTTTCCTTTGACAGCGAACGCAACACTTTCAGTAGCTACGGTGATTAAACAGCCACGTTACAGCTGACTGAAGTAACTACTGGAGCTACGCTTTCCTGTGACAGCGAACGCAACACTTTCAGTAGCTACGGTGATTAAACAGCCACGTTACAGCTGACTGAAGTAACTACTGTAGCTACGTTTTCCTGTGACAGCGAACGCAACACTTTCAGTAGCTACGCTGATTAAACAGCCACGTTACAGCTGACTGAAGTAACTACTGGAGCTACGTTTTCCTGTGACAGCGAACGCAACACTTTCAGTAGCTACGGTGATTAAACAGCCACGTTACAGCTGACTGAAGTAACTACTGGAGCTACGCTTTCTTGCGACACCGAACGCAACACTTTCAGTAGCTACGGTGATTAAACAGCCACGTTACAGCTGACTGAAGTAACTACTGTAGCTACGCTTTCCTGTGACAGCAAACACAACACTTTCAGTAGCTACGGTGATTAAACAGCCACGTTACAGCTGACTGAAGAAACTACTGTAGCTACGCTTTCCTGTGACAGCAAACACAACACTTTCAGTAGCTACGGTGATTAAACAGCCACGTTACAGCTGACTGAAGTAACTACTGGAGCTACGCTTTCCTGTGACAGCAAACACAACACTTTCAGTAGCTACGGTGATTAAACAGCCACGTTACAGCTGACTGAAGTAACTACTGGAGCTACGCTTTCCTGTGACAGCGAACGCAACACTTTCAGTAGCTACGCTGATTAAACAGCCACGTTACAGCTGACTGAAGTAACTACTAGAGCTACGCTTTCCTGTGACAGCAAACGCAACACTTTCAGTAGCTACGGTGATTAAACAGCCACGTAACAGCTGACTGAAGTAACTACTGGAGCTACGCTTTCCTGTGACAGCAAACGCAACACTTTCAGTAGCTACGCTGATTAAACAGCCACGTTACAGCTGACTGAAGTAACTACTGTAGCTACGCTTTCCCGTGACAGCAAACGCAACACTGTCAGTAGCTACGGTGATTAAACAGCCACGTTACAGCTGACTGAAGTAACTACTGTAGCTACGCTTTCCCGTGACAGCGAACGCAACACTTTCAGTAGCTACGGTGATTAAACAGCCACGTTACAGCTGACTGAAGTAACTACTGGAGCTACGCTTTCCCGTGACAGCGAACGCAACACTTTCAGTAGCTACGCTGATTAAACAGCCACGTTACAGCTGACTGAAGTAACTACTGGAGCTACGCTTTCCTGTGACAGCGAACGCAACACTTTCAGTAGCTACGGTGATTAAACAGCCACGTTACAGCTGACTGAAGTAACTACTGGAGCTACGCTTTCCTGTGACAGCGAACGCAACACTTTCAGTAGCTACGGTGATTAAACAGCCACGTTACAGCTGACTGAAGTAACTACTGGAGCTACGCTTTCCCGTGACAGCGAACGCAACACTTTCAGTAGCTACGGTGATTAAACAGCCACGTTACAGCTGACTGAAGTAACTACTGGAGCTACGCTTTCCCGTGACAGCAAACGCAACACTGTCAGTAGCTACGGTGATTAAACAGCCACGTTACAGCTGACTGAAGTAACTACTGTAGCTACGCTTTCCCGTGACAGCGAACGCAACACTTTCAGTAGCTACGGTGATTAAACAGCCACGTTACAGCTGACTGAAGTAACTACTGGAGCTACGCTTTCCCGTGACAGCGAACGCAACACTTTCAGTAGCTACGCTGATTAAACAGCCACGTTACAGCTGACTGAAGTAACTACTGGAGCTACGCTTTCCTGTGACAGCGAACGCAACACTTTCAGTAGCTACGGTGATTAAACAGCCACATTACAGCTGACTGAAGTAACTACTGGAGCTACGCTTTCCTGTGACAGCGAACGCAACACTTTCAGTAGCTACGGTGATTAAACAGCCACGTTACAGCTGACTGAAGTAACTACTGGAGCTACGCTTTCCCGTGACAGCGAACGCAACACTTTCAGTAGCTACGGTGATTAAACAGCCACGTAACAGCTGACTGAAGTAACTACTGGAGCTACGCTTTCCCGTGACACCGAATGCAACACTTTCAGTAGCTACGGTGATTAAACAGCCACGTAACAGCTGACTGAAGTAACTACTGTAGCTACGCTTTCCTGTGACAGCGAACACAACACTTTCAGTAGCTACGGTGATTAAACAGCCACGTAACAGCTGACTGAAGTAACTACTGTAGCTACGCTTTCCTGTGACACCGAACGCAACACTTTCAGTAGCTACGCTGATTAAACAGCCACGTTACAGCTGACTGAAGTAACTACTGTAGCTACGCTTTCCTGTGACAGCAAACGCAACACTTTCAGTAGCTACGCTGATTAAACAGCCACGTTACAGCTGACTGAAGTAACTACTGGAGCTACGCTTTCCTGTGACAGCGAACGCAACACTTTCAGTAGCTACGGTGATTAAACAGCCACGTTACAGCTGACTGAAGTAACTACTGTAGCTACGCTTTCCTGTGACAGCAAACACAACACTTTCAGTAGCTACGCTGATTAAACTGCCACGTTACAGCTGACTGAAGTAACTACTGGAGCTACGCTTTCCTGTGACAGCGAACGCAACACTTTCAGTAGCTACGCTGATTAAACAGCCACGTAACAGCTGACTGAAGTAACTACTGGAGCTACGCTTTCCTGTGACAGCGAACGCAACACTTTCAGTAGCTACGGTGATTAAACAGCCACGTTACAGCTGACTGAAGTAACTACTGTAGTTACGCTTTCCTGTGACAGCGAACGCAACACTTTCAGTAGCTACGCTGATTAAACAGCCACGTTACAGCTGACTGAAGTAACTACTGGAGCTACGTTTTCCTGTGACAGCGAACGCAACACTTTCAGTAGCTACGCTGATTAAACAGCCACGTTACAGCTGACTGAAGTAACTACTGGAGCTACGCTTTCTTGTGACAGCGAACGCAACACTTTCAGTAGCTACGCTGATTAAACAGCCACGTTACAGCTGACTGAAGTAACTACTGTAGCTACGCTTTCCTGTGACAGCGAACGCAACACTTTCAGTAGCTACGCTGATTAAACAGCCACGTTACAGCTGACTGAAGTAACTACTGTAGCTACGCTTTCCTGTGACAGCGAACGCAACACTTTCAGTAGCTACGCTGATTAAACAGCCACGTTACAGCTGACTGAAGTAACTACTGTAGCTACGCTTTCCTGTGACAGCGAACGCAACACTTTCAGTAGCTACGGTGATTAAACAGCCACGTTACAGCTGACTGAAGTAACTACTGTAGCTACGCTTTCCCGTGACAGCGAACGCAACACTTTCAGTAGCTACGCTGACTAAACAGACACGTTACAGCTGACTGAAGTAACTACTGTAGCTACGCTTTCCTGTGACAGCGAACGCAACACTTTCAGTAGCTACGGTGATTAAACAGCCACGTTACAGCTGACTGAAGTAACTACTGTAGCTACGCTTTCCTGTGACAGCAAACACAACACTTTCAGTAGCTACGGTGATTAAACAGCCACGTTACAGCTGACTGAAGTAACTACTGTAGCTATCTTTGGTCTAACTGTTTTCTTCTTCTTCAGATTCTCAGGTTATTCTGGAGATTCCTACACTTCCTGTGGTGACAGGAAGTGATGTCACTCTGTGCTGTAGCAGCAAAGATCAGGTCGCACTCGAAGCCTTTTTCTTCAGGGATGGTTCTAAACTTGGATCTGGACCTAAAGGACAGTTTACCATCAGGAACATCAGTCAGTCTGATGAAGGTCTCTACTGGTGTTACTTTGATAAGACTGAAGAATCTCCTCGGAGATGGCTGAGCGTCAGAGGTCAGGACACTGACATCACTTCCTGTTTAAAGATATGAACTAACCTGCTGACCTGATAATAAACTGATCACTGTACTGATCCAGGTTCTACTGATTCCTCCTTCAGGCTCTGGTCTGATGGTCTGACTGTGTTTCTTCTTCTTCAGATGATGATGCTCAGGTTATTCTGGAGATCCAAGCTTTACCTGTGGTGGCAGGAAGTGATGTCACTCTGCGCTGTAGAAACAAAGATCTGGTCGCACTTGAAGCCTTTTTCATCAGGAATGGTTCTAAACTTGGATCTGGACCTGAAGGACAGTTTACCATCAGGAACTTCCAACAGTCTGATGAAGGTCTCTACTCGTGTTATAATAATAAGTCTGGTGAATCTCCTCGGAGACGGCTCAAGATCACAGGTCAGGACACTGACATCACTTCCTGTTTATAGATATGAACTAACCTGCTGACCTGATGATAAACTGATCACTGCACCGATCCAGGTTCTGGTCTGATGGTCTAACTCTGTATGTGGCTCTGGTCTGATGGTCTAACTCTGTCTGTCTGTGGCTCTGGTCTGATGGTCTAACTCTGTATGTGGTTCTGGTCTGATGGTCTAACTTTGTCTGTATGTGGCTCTGGTCTGATGGTCTAACTCTGTCTGTCTGTGGCTCTGGTCTGATGGTCTAACTCTGTATGTGGTTCTGGTCTGATGGTCTAACTTTGTCTGTATGTGGCTCTGGTCTGAGGGTCTAACTCTGTCTGTATGTGGCTCTGGTCTGATGGTCTAACTCTGTATGTGGTTCTGGTCTGATGGTCTAACTCTGTATGTGGCTCTGGTCTGATGGTCTAACTCTGTATGTGGTTCTGGTCTGATGGTCTAACTCTGTATGTGGCTCTGGTCTGATGGTCTAACTCTGTATGTGGTTCTGGTCTGATGGTCTAACTTTGTCTGTATGTGGCTCTGGTCTGAGGGTCTAACTCTGTCTGTATGTGGTTCTGGTCTGATGGTCTAACTCTGTATGTGGCTCTGGTCTGATGGTCTAACTGTTTTCTTCTTCTTCAGATTCTCAGGTTATTCTGGAGATTCCTACACTTCCTGTGGTGACAGGAAGTGATGTCACTCTGCGCTGTAGAAGCAAAGATCAGGTCGCACTAGAAGCCTTTTTCTTCAGGAATGGTTCTAAACTTGGATCTGGACCTGAAGGACAGTTTACCATCAGGAACATCAATCAGTCTGATGAAGGTTTCTACTGGTGTTATTTTGATCAGACTGCTGAATCTCCTCAGATATGGCTGAGCGTCAGAGGTCAGGACACTGACATCACTTCCTGTTTATAGATATGAACTAACCTGCTGATGTGATGATAAACTGATCACTGCACTGATCCAGGTTCTACTGATTCCTCCTGCAGGTCCTCCTGTTCCTCTTCCTTCTGCTCCCTCTGCTCCTTCTCCTTCTCCTCCTCCCCTTCTTTCTGCTCCTCCTTCCTCTCCTCCTCCTTCTCCTCCTCCTCCTCCTCCCTCAGCCTCCTCCCCTCTCTCCCTTCCCCTCCTTGTTGGAGCCGCTGTGGGTTCTCTGGTTCTCCTGGTTCTGGTCCTGGTTGGAGTTCTGTGGCTCTGCAGGAATCAAACAGGTAAGAAAGCTGCCAGACTCACCTGATATGAACAGACTGGTCTGGTGAGCAGGTCTGTGCTGAACTACAACATGAGAGAGCTGCAGAGTTACAGGTTCAGATCCTCAACAGAGACACGAGAAGAACTGCAGTATTATATATTTTATTATTTATTGATGAGAATTATTTTAGCAAGTTGATAACTTTATATATTGTATCAAACAAAGAAAGGTCCAGCGCAGACAAGTTAAACAGCCTTTATTCAGACGGTTCATTCAGACAAGTTAAACAGCCTTTATTCAGACGGTTAATTCAGACAAGTTAAACAGCCTTTATTCAGACGGTTAATTCAGACAAGTTAAACAGCCTTTATTCAGACGGTTAATTCAGACAAGTTAAACGGCCTTTATTCAGACGGTTCATTCAGACAAGTTAAACAGCCTTTATTCAGAGGGTTAATTCACGGTGAGATTGTAAAGTCAATGTCAATGTAAATTTTATTTCTATAGCACATTTAAAAACAACAACAGTTGTGCTGAACAAAGTGCTGAACAGGGTCGATGTCAAATACATAAATAACACTTCAAACATCAGAAAAGAGGTAAACGAAGGTTAAACGCTACTGCAAATAGGTGCGTCTTAAGCAGCAAATAAACGTTTGTAGGGTCTGTGTCACCTTTATTTTTAAGCTTTGATTTTGGGACATCCAGGAGCAACTGATTTGGTGACCTCAGTGTTCTGACTGGAGAATGGTGGGCCAGATAAGGTGGCACCAGACCATTCAAGGCCTTGAAACATGCAATAACATCTTAAAATCTATCCTATAACGGACAGCCAGTGGAGGGAGGCCAAGACAGGCGTTATGTGCTCACGATGTTTTGTTTTAGTTAAAAGGTGAGCAGCTGCGTTTTGGACTATCTGGAGGCGATTTAAAGATTTCTGATTTAGACCCATGTATAATGAATAACAGTAATCCAGCTGAACAGTAATAAAAGCATGGATGACTTTTTCAAGGTCTTTGGGAGGAAGATAGGCCTTTATTTTATAATAATAATAATAATAATCTTTATTTGAAGAGCACTTTTCAAAAACAAGTTACAAAGTGCTTTAACAAGTGTAAAGTCAATAACACCCAAGAGACAATAATACAAAAACAATACAAGATAAAAGCATGAAAACATTGAAAAGACTAAAATACATGTTTAAGATAAATATAAAATTAGTAAAATAAAAGGGATAAAATAAAGTCAAATAAGATCAGGAAAGGCTCTCCTATAAAAGTATGTTTTAAGAAGGGACTTAAAAGAGTTCACTGACTCAGCCGACCTGATTTCCTCGGGCAGGCTGTTCCAGAGCCTCGGGGCCCTGACAGCAAACGCTCTGTCCCCTTTAGTTTTCAGTCGAGACTCTGGAACAGACAACAGACCTCTGCCCGAGGATCTCAAGGTACGTGCTGGTGCGTATGGGACTAAAAGGTCAGAAATATAACAAGGCGAGAGGCCATGAAGAGCTTTAAAAGTGATCAATAGAATTTTAAAGTCAATTCTAAAACATACTGGGAGCCAGTGTAATGAAGCTAAAATAGGAGTAATGTGGTCATATTTCTTTGTTCTGGTTAAAAGCCTGGCAGCTGAGTTCTGGACAGTCTGGAGTCGATCAATAGATTTTTGGGTTAAACAGGTGAAAAGGCTGTTGCAATAATCCAGGCGTGATGAGATGAAGACGTGTAAAATGGTCTCGGTGTCCTTAAAAGTTAACATAGATGGAATTTTAGCTATATTTCTAAGTTGATAAAAACATGATTGAACAAGCTTTGTGGTGTGCTGCTCGAAATTTAAATTACTATCAAACCAAACACCAAGGTTCTTTGCCACAGGCTTAATGTGATTTACTAGGGAACCAGCAGATGGCAGTATTTGATTTGCCATCTGCTGAGACCTGATGACCAGGATTTCTGTTTTGTCTGAGTTCAGCTGGAGGAAATTATTTGACATCCATTCTATCCATCTATTTTAGCTAGAAGTCTTAACTGGAAGAAGCTGGTCTTGACGACTGCACTGATTTGCTTATTGAACGTGAATGAGGTGTCAAAAATAACACCAAGATTTTTAATAGAGGATCGATTTTGGGAGGGTCACCCAGTATGTCTAAACGTCCACACGTGATGATCTCTGTTTTATTTTCATTCAGAGTGAGGAAGTTTAACTCCATCCAGGTTTTTACCTCCTTTAAGCAATCTAACAATGGCTGCACAGACTCTTTGGTTATGGATTTCGTAGGCAAGTAGATTTGGACATCATCAGCAAAACAGTGATAGGAGATGTTATGTTTCTGGAAAATGGAACCCAGTGGCAGCATATACAGTGAGAAGAGGATAGGGCCCAAAATGTTAGATTGCACAGAAATCCTTTCAAATTGTTCCGTCGAGAGATGCAGTTACTTAAACCAACGGTGAGAAAAGTATAAATCTGGTATCAGTGGTGCCGCCAGAAAATGTTCCTGGGGTGGCCAGATGGGGGCAACTGGAAATCCTGGGGTGGCACACTAAAACCAAAAGCTTTAACTGAATTGCAAGAATTCTATTTTTCAGTATAAAGACTGGCTGAATATTACATTAAAATATGAGTTAAGGAATCACAGAGTGAATTACTGTGGTTTCCTTTTTTACAGTTAATGTTACTAATTGTCTCATGTCCTCATACTCAAACCAGTTCAGTTAACATTTTGAGTTCCATAAAAATCCTGTTTTAATGTGTTAATTGTTCTTCAAATACGCAGGTTGACCTTTTCCTTAAAAAGACAAATACAGATTTTATTTGTAGGAGAGCACTGACTGCAAAGAACAAAAATATTTACTTACCTACTCAAGATTGCAGCATAAACATTTTCCTTAATATTAGACTATATAATAACAATTGAATTGAAATATACAAAATGTGTCTGTACAGAGTTGTGTAATTATTTATTAACCATAACCATAAGTTGGATGTTTCTTTTGGAAACAGAGGCGCTGTATGGTGACAGGCAGCTGCAGAGTGCAGAGTGACAGTGTTGTCTTTTAACGTTTTAACCTGGTTGTAGCGTCTTTTAACATTTTAACCTGATTTTAGCGTCTTTTAACATTTTAACCTGGTTTTAGCGTCTTTAATGTTTTAGCGTCTTTTAACGTTTAACCTGGTTGTAGCGTCTTTTAACATTTTAACCTGGTTTTAGCGTCTTTTACGTTTTAGCATCTTTTAACATTTAACCTGGTTTTAGCGTCTTTTAACGTTTAACCTGGTTTTAGCGTCTTTAACGTTTAACTTGGTTTTAGCTTTTAACATTTTAACCTGGTTTTAGCTTTTAATGTTTTAACCTGGTTTTAGTGTCTTTTAACGTTTTAACCTGGTTTTAGCGTCTTTTAACGTTTAACCTGGTTTTAGCGTCTTTAACGTTTAACCTGGTTTCAGCGTCTTTTAACGTTTTAACCTGGTTTTAGCGTCTTTTAACCTGGTTTTAGCGTCTTTTAACGTTTAACCTGGTTTTAGCGTCTCTTAATGTTTTAACCTGGTTTTAGCGTCTTTTACCGTTTTAACCTGGTTTTAGCGTCTTTTAACGTTTTAACCTGATTTTAACTTTTTTAATATTTTAACCTGGTTTTAGCGTCTTTTAACGTTTAACCTGGTTTTAGCGTCTTTAACGTTTAACCTGGTTTCAGCGTCTTTTAATGTTTTAACCTGGTTTTAGCGTCTTTTAACCTGGTTTTAGCGTCTTTTAACGTTTAACCTGGTTTTAGCGTCTCTTAATGTTTTAACCTGGTTTTAGCGTCTTTTACCGTTTTAACCTGGTTTTAGCGTCTTTTAACGTTTTAACCTGATTTTAACTTTTTTAATATTTTAACCTGGTTTTAGCGTCTTTTAACGTTTAACCTGGTTTTAGCGTCTTTAACGTTTAACCTGGTTTCAGCGTCTTTTAACGTTTTAACCTGGTTTTAGCGTCTTTTAACGTTTAACCTGGTTTTAGCGTCTTTTAACCTGGTTTTAGCTTCTTTTAACGTTTTAACCTGGTTTTAGCGTCTTTTAACGTTTTAACCTGATTTTTACTTTTTTAATATTTTAACCTGGTTTTAGAGTCTTTAAATGTTTAACCTGGTTTTAGCATCTTTTAATATTTTAACCTGGTTTTACCGTCTTTTATGTTTTAGCGTCTTTTAACGTTTAACCTGGTTTTAGCGTCTTTAACGTTGAACCTGGTTTTAGCATCTTTTAACATTTTAACCTGGTTTCAGCGTCTTTAAACTTTTAACCTGGTTTTAGCGTCTTTTAACGTTTAACCTGGTTTTAGCGTCTTTAACGTTGAACCTGGTTTTAGCATCTTTTAACATTTTAACCTGGTTTCAGCGTCTTTAAAGTTTTAGCGTCTTTTAATGTTTAACCTGGTTTTAGCGTCTTTTAACCTGGTTTTAGCTTCTTTTAATGTTTTAACCTGGTTTTAGCGTCTTTTAACGTTTTAACCTGATTTTAACTTTTTTAATATTTTAACCTGGTTTTAGCGTCTTTAAATGTTTAACCTGGTTTTAGCATCTTTTAATATTTTAACCTGGTTTTACCGTCTTTTATGTTTTAGCGTCTATCTGCCACTTCCTTTAGAAATGATGATAAAGAAATGTTATCCTATACTACTCAGTTAATTTTCCAGCTCGAACTGAATGTTAAATGACTAAATTCCCCAGTTCCTAGGTCAAGTGGTGAAGCTCAAGGTTGAATATCTACTCCTCATTTAACCCGAGCACCCCCAAGTGTACAAAATAAGTATTACATGCCATTGTTCTGAAATGTCGTTTAATGTATAAATTTCACTCTGTATTTACCTGTTCATAATCTGATGCCATTCGTGTATCTTGCTTATATTCTCTAAGTAAGAACGTGTAACAGCCAATATGATCCAGGAAGCTAATTAAGTTCCTCTCATCTGATGTGATTCCTAGGAAATGCTAATTGTTTTCCTTTTATCAAGTGCTTAAAACTAAGAACGGTATAACT